ATTGCACCTGTACTCAAATCTGACGACTCCGTCCGTATTTGCTGAGACTACAAATTGACAGTCAACCAAGCATCGGAAGTGGAAAATATCTCCTAGCACGTATTAAAGACTTGTACGCGACTTTAGCCGGCGGCCAAAAGTTCTCCAAGCTGGAGTTCAGTCCTGCATACTCTCAGGTCGAACTTGATGATGAGTCACAGGAACTGACCACAATAACTACCCACCTAGATCTGTTCCAATACACGCGCCTCACGTTAGGAAAAATGCAACACCCAACAATTTTCAACGGATCGTGAATAATATATTTAAAATTATACCGTCTGCCTGTGGATACTTGGACGATATTCTTGTTACTCACCCCACTGACGCTGACCAGCTAAACACATTGTGAAATGGAGGGAAATTCGGTGTAGCAGGCCTCGAACTCGCGACCATTGAAGTAGTAGCAGAAGCTGCTACTCCTTTGTTTACCGGGTCACGGCGGGCCATACTTGTCGCAACGGTGAATGACTAATTGGGGGCTCAATTTTGGATTACACGTTGTGATTGGATAGCGGTCCGGTAAACCCTTGGCGTTGGGCTGAAAAGTCATGGCAACTTTGGACCCATTAATGGTGCAGTTTTCCCGCTGCTCGTTGACGCTCATTCGAAATGGATATATGTTTATCCCGTCGCCCACCCTACTGCAGAGATAACCATCTCAAAAGTAGGTAATCGTTTCCCATAATTTGGATACCAGATATACTTTACACAGCAATGGGCCATGGTTTACTAGCAAAGAACTTGCAATCTTCATGAATAGCAATGGTATCCAGCACGTCCGTACAGCTTCATATCATCCTGCTTCTAATGAGGTAGCGGAAAGGGGATGCAGACAATTAAAAGAAGTCTCTTGAAACAAAAACCGGGAACTAATCAGACGAGACTAGATCGCTTGCTGTTTGTTTACAGGATAACGCCAACGGAAGCTACTGGTAAATCACCTGTGATTATGCTTGGCCGAACACTCCGTACCAGACTGGATCTTCTGTTTTCAAATCATGGAGCACAAATGCAAAGGAAACAAGACAACGCTGCCGTATCGCAAGATGATCACGACTCTAGTTGGCAGTCGGGTGATCCCGTATACACACGACTTTCCCATGAGCGCTGCTGGCAACCCGCAACTGCAATTAAAGGTGACTGTACCCAAGCAGATCTCGAATTAAATGGTCGGATAGTACTGAGACACTCGGACCACAAAGGCTCATGTTGTGTTGGGACGAAAACAGATGAACATGTGTATGAATCAGCTTCGGTTCAGCCGGAAACGGAAGCAACCCCCCAGGGATTCTGTACAATCGTCAGATGCACCATCGCTTCGTAGATCTCAGCGTATGCATAAACCCGTTGACCGTTTTGTGCCAGCCAATCATCTGACACACGCCCAGGTCTCGCAACGCGATTTTCCGTGGATTTGTACCTTCCTCAATTGATTGATAAATCTCCTTCTGTTCAGGCGTTTTCTGCTTGATGGGATTACGTGTCTCGGAAGCGTGTGTTATATGCTTAGCGTACTACGTTTTACCTCCAAAGATCACGACATTTGTGGCTGCCTAGAACCGCTTCAATTTACAAGTTGTTTGGCCTTTTTATCTCATTTAGTTTGTGAGGTTGAACTCCTGACACGAGAAGCTACTTTGCACCTGTAAGCCTATTCCCTCATCCTTCGAAGCCGCTTTAGTAGTGGTGGTAAAAGTCTACCCGCCCTCTGGTAGATCGTTTCAAAAAGGCAACAAACGCCAAAACAATATTTGATGTAGTACGTAAGATGGTCACACAGAAGCGACAAGTCATCGTTGTTGAAGACCGAAAAACCAGTAAAGAAAACATCGTTTGGAGCCTCGTAATATTTTTGAGTGAGCAATTTCGCCATTTGTTAATCTTGTAAGGACGTCTGGTCAGCATGAAAACAATTATATCTGCTGTATATGACTGGGCAGTTTTAAAATATAACGGCCTGAGCCAATCAAAGGAGCCTGCTTTTGTATAAAAAAGAATTGTCGTTTATTTGCGTACATAGCGTCCAAATGGGCATCTTGTCTGGTTCAAACAGTCACTAGATCTATCAAGCCAAATATCTTCAGAAATGTTGTACCCTTTCTATTGAAGTCGCCAGCAACAATACGGATAGAGCAATCCAATGTAAGTAGTAGCATTGAAGAAACTTGATCCTCAAAAAGATTTGACTCTAACGTTGTGGATTCCAGCATGGTATTTTCGCTTGCAGTATTGCACAATGTGGATACTGAAATGCTGCTTAATGACAAATTGACTGATCTGGATTATGCAGACGATATCGTCGCTCTTGACAGTCGCGAGGCAGTACAGTCAACCTTGGGTAAATGACTTGATGTGGCACACGTTTAGCACCTCGAAAGAAGTGATGCTGCTGGACAACCACCTCCTTGATTCATGAAGACGAGGAACTAGTAGTGGTTGACAAGTTCACTTATCTTGGCAGCTGCAGTGATAGCTAAAAGCGCTATGTTGAACTTGCGGCATCTGTGACGTCAGGAATGGATTTCTCTGTGTGGAAGGTCATGTGCCCAAGGTCAGAGTGGGAAGACCTGAAGTCCCTTCTGCTCTTTGATAATAGCTGCATTGCTGGTGTCCACAAGGATGACGCGCGCAGCTGAACACTAGGTTGTAATAGTTAAGGTTAGTTCTTTAAAACGACAAATTAGACTGAAGAAGCTGCGTTGCCCTGGACATGCGTTACATATACCCGGTGGCCGCGTACTGAGGAGGATCTTAGTTTGTAAACCGGATGTTGTATGGCGCAAGGTTCGAGAGGGCTAAGCAAATGTCGAGTTAGTAGCGAAAAAGAAATCGCTGACGGCTAAACTGGGTGCTGATGGCCAGTTTCGTCTTCCCAGCTGAAGTCTACCTAACCAACCCTAGGCTCGTCCGTAGTTTTAAAGAACATGGCTCGCAGCCAACCCAAAAAGCGCGCTTGCCTTCGTAGAATTGTCTGTTTAAGCTCACGTCTAATGCTGAATTGCCGTCGGACTAATGGATGATTATGACATGGGACGGTGCCAATAGCAACGAAGCAGTCTCCTAGGTGCATGTTTTCGCACGATAGCCAGCTGTTTGTAGCCATGTGTTGTTGCCAAGTTGTAGGCTCCTTGAGCATGAATATCTGCTTAGGGCATTTAGATTGTACAAGTCACTCTAGCTGTACTGTGATGAAGGATCACTAAAAATTACTGATGTACAGCTGCTGTTGGTTCACTGATTCAAAGAAGAAACGATGGTAAGAATTAAAGTTAAAAACACAAGTGTCATGTAAGTACGATTCGTTGGAGCTGGCCAATAGGTTCAGTTAGTGAAACAGAGCTCGCCAGCTCAGTTCGTACGAATGCAGCCATGGTAGCGTGTTTCCGAATGTGTTGGAGTAAAGCCGCTCGAGTGAAGAGCAGAAAAATCGCACAATTAATCGAAAGACGCGATCATTACGCCGTTTGCTCTAATATCGATTCCGAATGAGTGCATAGAGCAGACTACGACAGTGGCGTAGACTGCTCCGCCATTGACTATGGTGTCGTAACGTGGCTACGTACATGAATCGGTCTCGTGATGATGGTCTCGGAGTATCAACGAGGATGCGAGCAGGGGTTCGTGAACGAAGTTAGCTGATGACAGCCAGCAGGACAATAAATCCCAACGTAACGCATTATCTACCACGGTTGGCGGCGACCGATTCCGGATTTGCCTGTGATTGTGGCCTTCATAGGACAAACACAGAACATATGCGCCTACAGGGGGACCATGAGTAGCTTGCGCTGCACCACACAATATCTACCAGTGTCCTATATACAGCACAGTTACATATAGGTCGATATATGCTGTACCGAAGCAATCACTCCATTCTGGTGTCATTTGTAGAAAACAAGCTGTATTTACATACGTAATACCTGGCATTATTTGATCTCCAAAGACCCCAAACGACATAACTTTTACAAGAAAAACAAAATCAGAAAACACAATTTGGGAGATAACGGATCGAACAAAGTAAGGTATTTTCACTGTCCACATGCAGTGAACTTTATCGAAATACGTCAGACAGTTCAGATCCCGAATCCAGGCGGTCGACAACACACGTTTCATTGTCATACAGAACTTTCGTAAGTAATGGAAGGAGGGATATGTACCACCAGTAAATCGCAACTACACAGAATACCTAAAATGCTAAGCACAAGTGGGCTGCGCCGAAGCAGCAACGACTTCCTTGGTGAGATCATTGCCCAACATGAGCTGGAAAGATCTAAACCAAGAGATGGGTATAAGGAGGGTCCAAAAACCCCCAATCGCAGGTTAGCAAACAATAGTGGCCTATAATAACAAAACTTTGGGCCATTGGGTGAATGGATACGATGCGAGTAGCGCGCATGGAATGAGTGGCAACAGTTATTCGTCAAGTGGCAGTAAGTATCCACAACCCGGTATAATATTCGCTACAGAGCATAGAATTGCTTTCCAAATAGCATAGGCGAAATTGGCATCGTTGGATTCCAGTCACAAACCAGTTTACGCGATAAGCAAGGTATGTGCGGATGAAGGAACGACGATTTTGACGACGACAGTGTTTAGTGATTGGAAGCATCAGTCCCAGGATTCGCGCACAGAGGGACTACAGTGGTTTGTGCATCAGCACTCGCAGCTCCATTCACACACACACACACACACCTCATATCCAGTGCAGTTCTGAAGAATTAAGAAGGATGGGAGGGATGTGGATGGGGTGCATGACACATTCGGAGCCGGTCCACATTCTCCTAAGCTGTTGATACATGTACCGTTACCATTAAAGCGGTCTAATCCAGATGTGCATTTGAATGATTTCCGAGTGCTTTAAGAGACAGCACAAAATTGATCAACAAAAAATTTAGAAATATTTTTCTGCGATCGAAGCATCCGATTCGAACACAAGAACGTAAGCTGTACCATTTATTATCCTTTAAACTAGATGGATAGTGAAAAAAGCGTCACAGCACACAATGTCTTAAAACGAGCAGGATCGATCAAAGGAAGTACTAAAATAGACAAGCTGGGGGGCTAAGTTCTAAGTAAGGATGAGAGGCCGAATTTTATGTTCTTCATCGGTGGCGTATCCCTGCGATCGGATAGGAGCAAGTAATGGACACTAGAGGTGAAATAATCAGAGATGGTAATCCATAAGCTAGGGCACTGACAAGTATTGAGAGAGTGCACACCGTTTCATGTGATGGGGTAGTTGCCACAGCATTTGAGTCTGCCACTAAATAATAGTGCAAAACGCATATAGAAAATGATACACAGGAAGACATGTATTCACAGCTATCCAGACACTTTAAATACACTGCGACCAAAATGAACGTTTCTGTGGAAAATACAACATGATAGTGATCCGAGAAGTAGGAGCGCACGTCAAATATGAGCTCCGATTAAGGAAGAGAAGTAAGGTGACATAAAGCAAATAGATGATGATCCCGTGCATTGATGGATCAAACTGACAGAATGTTATGCATGATAGGAAAAACAAATGCGATGTACGACCAGCCAGCGTCCTGGCAGATAGCCGGGATCCCAAGGGAAACGTTGAAAAGGTTGCACTATGTGTATGTGTAATAATTATGTACAAAAAGGTATAAAGACAATAGACAGAAGAGGGCAGTTCAGATATTATTTCGGCAACTGAGTGTGTAGATCGGGCAACGCTGGGGTCTCAATGACTAACTGATTGTTTGGTTGACTGGCTCAATGTATGCACGGCGCGCCAGTCGACAGGGAGAGCAACATAATGGTGTATGTGGGAGAAAAAGACAACGGGATGAAACGAATGCACATTGAATAAACCGCGCCATCATCAGGGCGGGTTGTGCAGTTACATACGAACAAATAGAGGAAAGATATCTGCTAAATTAAGAGAAGCAGAAAGCCTAATGTGAATGATATCATTAGAAACAACAGATGATTGCTCATACTGCAAAAGCGAAAGTAGAGGAAAACGAAAGCCGTCCGGAGGAATGAGAATATTCAAGAGCAGGGGAACGTTACGTGTTGAAGCAGCGAAGAGATGGATAAAGCGATCAGCCGCCTACGGTTCGTCCGTGAGGCAAGGGGATTCTCCACCGTTTTGAACGAATGAGACGAGGCCGAACAAAGTGACCGAACAACAGCAGTGCGCCTGTCCAATGGGGCACAAAGTAAAATGCGCGCCAAAAGAACAGGGAAGCCGATAGATCAAGCAGGTGGAATGGTGCTTGTGCATAATTGATTGCCACATTGGTGGTTACTGTGGTGAACAAGTTGTATAGGAATGTAGACAAGGCGGTACGACGGCACAGCGTGCGCATGTTGCGTCTCCACATACGGGAGACGAAAGTAAACATGGCGAAAGTGCAAAACATGAGATAATACCCAGGATAGAATCCGTGCCAAAATGCACTGATGATAAACACCAACGCGGTGCGACACGAATGGGGCAAACGGTCGTAGAACACCTCGCGAAGCCACCGGGTTGTAGAAATGTTCCATGCATCGATCACGTGTTTTAGACCAACGCCAGATTCAATCTGCTGGAGCTCGAAATTGCACACCTTGTGGTAAATAGGTTGCCCAGAAGAGGGACAATAGCCGGAGAATCCGATTCCGGAACTGATTCCACCCAGTTCGGCAAGACCCCAAGCAAAATAGTACTTCTGGCGAACCAGAAAGAGAGAGGCGGTGGAGTAAAGGACACGTTGCAAAATCGGCCAAGCCTGAACGAGTAGTAGAAGAGATGATGACTCGATTAGTACACCCAAATAACCAACAAAGGGTTAGGCATTTAATCAAGGGTCAACACATCTCAAGGAGAGCGAAAAGAGCGTAGGAGAAACAAAATGCGTAATAGTAAATCATATATCTTATCTGAATCCCGGTGATAAATCACGATTACTAAAGCGTAGTCAAATAACGGTGATCCGTGTACCGGTGTCTGGGAAATCCAGGTGATTTGACTCCCGTCGCCATTGCAAATTTAATAAAAAAGCTATTAGTCAACATAGACAATGATGCTTCAAGGAAAATAAGTGAACGAACGCAACAGCGCAAATGGCTCGTTGCTGAGTCATTTCCGAAAGGGTAGCCAAAGCTCGATGAAGCTAGAACCAAGGCATCATGGCAAGATGGCGATGATCTCCCATTCCGACCACAACCGCTCGTAGTTTCCTCAAGCTCTTCTGCAACGCCCGTGATTGGCCACTTCAGAATTTCACATAACTAGATGCGGCAGAAGTCGACTACACATGCAGAAGGCAAAGAAGAGGGTCTAGTGAACTACAGCAGCCACGGACTTTGGAGCAGTACATAAAGGTTTGTTAACGAATACAAAACAATGGATGTCGGTATCACTTATTCTGCGCTTCCACGAGAGACTCTTGATGGCTTCAGAATGCAATGGACATCATTGATTCATGAAGTGAAATTAGCCACAACAATCGTTGTGAGTCCTGGCATTAATCAATAGGCCCGTATCACCACTTATCCATAAACGACTAAGGTTTCGTAAGACTCCACGAGCCTTAACGAATGCGTGTAGTAACCACTTCAGAGATGCGACCGCAAAAGCTGGTGCGGCTGTTTAGATAGACAAACCGACAGATCACATGTTGCAGCTGTTGACCAGCTGAGAGCTGGTAGTGTGTGAGGTGCGGCCCTGTAGCAGTATTTGTAGCTTGGAGATGCGAAGCACTCGCTAATAGTGCAACGCTAGGAATCTACCTGTTCCATAGCGCTCGAAGACTGGCGACGCAAACCTAAGGACAGCTGAGTCGTCCGCATGCTTAGAGTTAGTTAATTAGCCAACTGACTGAGCCTCTAGCTAAAAATGAATAGTATCTCATTCCTGATCAACCACATCACAAAGTTGAAGGGAAAGTGATCGATGGAGAGGTCCTGACGCACGCTGCTCGCTGTGACGAATTAAGGGAGAGTTTCCCGTGGACTCTAACACGGTCCACGGAGTCGTGGTATAGGGATTCAAGAACGGAAGCTACCGAGGCGACTACTTTAAAGCCGGGTGTCGCCAAGAATAAGGGTGACCAAGGACAATCTCCAATAGTGTAACGGTAAAGTGCTTGGACTTATGATTTTGTTAAAGCACTTAGCTAGGTGAATATTTGGGGTCGTGCGTCCGCACAGATGTGGCAATCACTCTGGTTTTCACAAATAGGCGAACCGTGGACGGATACGCATAGACCGTAGGCAATAAAGATGTCAATACGACGTAATTTAGTGTACCCAAAGTGTTTGGATGACGGTTGACAACTGCTAGTCAAAGGGGGACAACACCATTAGCAACATAACCTTGGAGATCACCATAGCTCAACTAGTCCGCGACTACATTACATAAGTAATGGATAAAACTGGAAAGATAGGTCAAAGCAAGTGACTCACCATGAAGGTTTCAGTCACAACGAACTCGAAAGGGAACACAGGTGACAAATAGGCAGACAACAAACCACAAGCCGTAGTACGTAAAAACAACCGAAGCATGTATCGCCATGGAACAGGAGGCAATTGACGCTTTTCGTAGCCCATCAAATATTCTTGATACTCGGAGAAAAACACAAATGGTCCAACACACGCACCGTGGAAACACAGAGTATAAGCGAAGAATTCAAGTGGCCCGGGAAGACGCTCTACGGCATGCTCGATGTGACTCGGTAGCATGTTAGTTAGCATATTTGGTCGTATAGGACGAGAAAATGTTGGCGGAGTTTTGGTCAGTAACCGATCCAGATAGGTTTGGATGAAGAAATCGTTGGTAAACGCGGTACGTTCTGATAAGCTTCGCGCTGGTCCATCGGTAAACGATTTCAAACTACGCACAAGCATGCACTTGAGAGAATTCACAGAGGGGTGAGTGTGGTCCATCAATGCATCATCGGACAATAGGTTGACGGAGGCCGCGGAGACTCGTTCTGGCTTGACATTTACACTTTGGCTCTTCAGAGTTTTGCATCGCTCTCGTTCCCGTATCAAAGAGCCATCGGCCAAATTGAACGCTAGACTGGATAATCGCTGAGTCTGCACCATGACAGGGCCGGAAATATCCATAGTGTAACCGCCGTAATCGTACTGTAAACGACACAAGTGTACCAATGTCATATAAAACATCGACCAGACTGTGACTAATACGGCACTCAGACGTGATGAGGGAAGAAGCCACATGATGGCATAGGCCACAACACTTTGAAGGAGAAGGACGCGGAGCTGGTTACCGAAGCAGAAGGAGAGGAGGGAGAGTCCAAGTATGGTCTCGACTATAGCTCGGGTGTGTGGAGTGGAATTCGAAGGTGAGAACTTGCGTCGCATTAACAGATGACCGAGGGAGATGCTTAGGAGGCCACAAAACACGTAGTTTATCTGATCCAAAGGTACGTGCATCCATTCAGCGAGGGGACTGAGGGCTCGAGATCCACGATAAAAAGCTCCTCGAATCCGTGCTGAATTGTCTATGGGTGTATCGACGCCCATAAAGACCTCGCTGAAGTAGGCCCAGGTGAGCATGTTCTTCGAGATGAGTGAGGAGGATATTGGGAGGCAACGCGTCCAGCTCCAAGTAGAGAACACTAAAATAAGAAAAGACATTGTAAAACGGAGAACCGATCTTTAATCTGTGTGACGTGGAACCAACAAAATAAGATAAAGGAAGAAGTTTGCTCAAATTAACGCGCCACATATAGGCCAGTTCACGGCGTCCAATCTCCGGCCGACCAATCCAGGTGACAAAAATTGAAGAACGCATTTGTGATCACAAGTGGCTTACGTAGTGCTACCTGTGGATATGCCTACACGGATACTGCCTGAGGTGATTTTAATATGGCCAGGCAGAAAATTACTAATGAGAGTATGTAGACGAACTGGATAAAAACGAGAATTCTGAGACAATTGTCGAATGAGATTCCGTTTTCGGTGGATGCCACGAGCTTTCACTAGGCCCTGAAAATCGGTTAGAGGTCACTCGTGATCTTTCTTGCTAATACAATGGTAGTAAGAGCCAGCGAAAACCGCTCCAAATTGGGTTCCAAGTCTACACTATCCAAAGATTGACAGAACGGCCGCACATCAAGTAAAACAGAGCAACGATGTGACTAACAAGTAACAATAAAAAGGTTCAAAAGTGTTCCAGGACGTGGTGGGTTTTCGCCTGGCAAGCGTTCTCCCTATAAAAAGCCACATATGTCCGTTTAACAACACTGTGACGTGGCGGACGTGACTCGCCACTAAATAAAGTCACTGCCCCTTGCTTCATCCTGGCGAAGCATTGTATTCCAGCAGCCTTATGCTGTACTTCTGGGGAGCATTGGGCCCCTGTTTGACAAAGGGACAAACGAAAGGCGTATGAACTGAGCAATCAGTCACCGGCTCCCAATGGGCGCGATTCCCTGAATTCGCTCCGCTGCCTTGAGGGCAGGCTATTCAGCCAAAGGCTCGGGGTGGTGTCCCCTAAGTCAACATCCTACTTCGGCTTGGGCAACCGGGTAGTATCTCGCCCTCTGAGGAAACCATGGACATTGTTGTGTTGTGTTTTATTTTACTGTTTCTGTACTTTCGTTTAAATCCCATGGTTTCTGATGGCATTATGTCTGTTAGCAGACCTTTGCAAATATATATATATATATATATATATATATATATATATATATATATATATATCAAAAGTGGACGGATACGGCACCATGTAGCAGCTAGATGACCGGAGTCTATCGCGACACGTAGTCCACGACGCCCAGATCTAACGGGAAGCAATTTCGTTGGGCAATGAATCACGGTTCCCCCTCGATGGGCTGCGAGCAAATTCATCCGAGATGACTGTAGATTAGTCGGTGTTGCCTAATTCCATTCCCAGACCAAGCCATCTCTACCTGAGTCCAAACAAGGACGAAACGCACAGTGGAGGAATGGAAAAGCAACACCGAAGCTCTCCACAAATGATAGTTCAAAGTATCCACAAGTCTGATGAGTGAGAAGCGTAAATAATGGTCTTCACAAGGAGTGTGTATCGCGATGTAGGTGTCTGTGATTCCCAGTGTGGTTCGCAGAGACAGAGAAATTTTGAATTATAAGTTCTAGGCAAAGAATGAGTCGTCGCTTTCTTAAGAGTGTAAAAGGATTAAGTCGAAGGAAGTATGTAGAGCGGGGAGCAATAGAACATTCCGAACAAAGTGGATGTTTTAGAGGAACAGCTGGATTGACTCAACTGTCTAGAGCAGAGGTGCCCAAACTTTTCGAAAAGATGGCCACAACTTGTGGGATAGAAATATGTCGGGCCACATTAAGTCTGAGATTAAAATAATAACCAAAAATGACATAATTTATAAGATTTTTATAGCAATTTTTTAATGTGAAGGGTGAAAATGAGATTTTCATTGCAGTAAAGTAGTTAGGTAAGGCTCAGTGACACCGGTTTTGAAACGCAAAACATGACGTAAGTGAGAATCACTTCATATCGTCCATTTCTAGAACAGGAATGAAAATCACCTAAATCACCCAAAAGATGTAGCAACTGCGCTACCGCTTCAAGTGCACCGCCGAAGACTGAACTCCACTCGTGGCCTAAACCAACTAAACCTTGGAGCCGTGTTCATGTCGACTTTGCAGGCCCAAGCAATGGCCAGGACTTTCTCATAGTGGTCGAGGCTTACAGCAAGTGGCCTGAAGTGTCCATCACGAGCAGCACGAAAATCAGCGCAACAGTCTCAAGGTTGCGACAAATCTTCAGCAGGTTCGGCTGCCCTGAAACATTGATGACGGACAATAGAGCACAGTTTAGTTCAGCCACATTCACGGAGTTCGGCAAATGCTGCATCATCAAACACTTGCGGTCTCCATCATTCCAACCACAATCAAACGGCCAAGCGAAGAGATTTGTGGATACATTCAAACGTGCTCCCTTCAAACCAAGTAGGGAGGGAGACCTAGAGGAGGTGATCGACCGCTTCTTTTATCTGTACCGATCTACACAAAATCCACAAACGCAAGGTGGATTATCACCAGCAGAGGCAATGATGAAGAGAGAGCTTCGAATGCCATTTGATGCAGTTCGGCCGTCCTCAGAGTCCACAGCTCGAGAAAGGAACCTCAAGATGGAACCTGACTTTAATCGGCGGTATGATGTTAAGCGATGTTCGTTTAAATTGGGTCAGCCAGTACTTGTATGTGATTACCGGGACACGCAAAATGGATGCCAGGCACGATCCAGGGCAAGTGTCGGGACCTCATTTACAACGTGCTGGTTGGAACGCAGGTATGGGTACGCCATGTAAACCAACTGCGACCAACACTGTGTCAGCCACAAGCAACAGAATCCGTCGAGCTTCCATTTGACCTGTTGACGGACAGCCTAAACAGCCCCTCGAAGAACCCTGTCATCAGACGAATGATACCAGACCGCAGAGTACGGAACTTGAATCCAGAACACTTCAGCCAAAGTGATGGACCGATAGGCATAGAACCCCTTCCAGGAGGCTTCAGGTCAATCCCAGACTAGCATCATACACCGCGACAGCCGTTTCAGGAGAGAGGTATCCGGGAAAAGGTAAAAACATAAAGGAAACCCATTATTTTAGTAATTAATCGATTATTTTAGATCATGCAGATTTCGAAGATTCCGGAACCTTCCATTCCTTCACGTGATCGCCAGCATACGGAGTTTTGGCAGGGAGGCTACTAATGTTACCAGCTGACCATTGTTTTCTAGAGGCCGAAGGTCATTGAGCCCCCTATATATTTGGCGTAGGTCTGGCGTAGTTGTTCAGCGTTTTTGTTAAAACGTTTTTCGCGGTCAAGGCCGTTGGACTTTTGATTTATCTTCGGCTGGGCTGGAATTTTTGCGGAAAAAGTTTTGAGAGTTTAATTCGGAATAAAGTGAAAACGTGAAGATCTAACAGTTTCCGACAGCCTGCGCAGAAAATGAGCCAGTTTACCACATTCCTTGTCGAACCAGTGTGGAATGACCTGTCCGATTACCCGGCACGTGAGAGGCACAAATTGGTTACACAATGAATTTATTCCATTCTTTATAACTGACAAGCAGGCTTCAGCAGAATGCGGCAGAAACCAATCCACTTGCTTCGCGGCTCGAGCCAGCGCGCCGAAATCCGTCTAACAGTAATTGCAATCCAGCTGCAATGCACAGGACTGCAGCAACAGCAGCTCTATGTTGGCAATAAAAACTGAGTGATGGCTTGCTGCCAGAGGCTCCAGGATGCGAATGTCATACACAGATTGTTCACAACTGGTTAACATCAAACCTAAGCACGACGGAGTTGGGTGCGGTGTTATGCGCGTCGGTCGGCAGATGCGTTGTTCTGCCATAGCAGCGAAGATTGCTTCGGCCTCACAATAACCGATGGTAAGCTACTTCAGACCAGCGTATTCGATGGCAATTGAAATTGCATATGAGTAAAAAAGGACGGCAACTCATGTGGCCTCGGATATGCAGCAGCCAATCCAAACAACTCAGGGGACTGCGATCGAATGCACCCGCGAGCAGCTCCTCGTTGCTGAGGTGAATGGAGCACTACAACTGCCCACATAAGACATCGCTTCGGTGGGCGCTCACAAGTCTCCCACACAGAGAAGACCGGATGTAGAGTAAGTAGCCACTGTGGGCATTCGGTAGCCTGTCACAGCAGAAGAACGAGTTGCCACTAAGCTCAACTTCCTGTGAGCACCTCATCGTTCAGCCACATCTCTGCGGGTCCCAGTACAGCTGGTCGCTAGAAAGCAACGAAACGACACAGCTCACTGCGCTTGTCGACCGTCGACGTTGCTAAAGGCTACATGCAGGCTGTGGCAAGAACTACCGGGCGATTTATCCGAATTCGCGTTCGTATTACAATTACCCGAAAATTTACAATACGTAGGTTTGTTTCGTCCCGACTAGCTCGGCGCTTTAGTTCGATGGTGGCACATTTGGGACACTCCTGGTCAGCTGGACCGATATCCGGACGAATATGCACCCTATCGCCTCTCATTCTACCCAGCCGAGACAGTATCAGCTTCGGGATGGCCTCCTCAGCAAAAGTTATTCGCATAGGTCGGTCTTTCACTGCAATGTTTTTGCCGAGGCGGATGACTTGCTGCATTTTCACTCCGTGCTCACCCACATCGAAGAGCCTATCAACCAGGCTCTGTAGAAACTCTACGTCATGATCATAACGTACCTGAGGACTTGGATTGTTGGACTCAGGTGCGTGAAGAAGCAACAGATTTAATAGCCGCTTGTCATTCAAAGTGATTTCTGTGGGAGAAGGGTGGACTCGAGGGTTGCTTGATCTGCCCAGTTGTTGGTCAGTGGAAGGAAACTTTTCTTCGTTTCGCGGTTTCTTCCGTCGTTGTTTTCCACGGTTCCTCTTGCATTGGATATTCATTTGCGTCATTAGAGCTAGCAGAACGCAAAGTCAGTGGATCATTAGCCTCAGTTAGTGTCGTGTCTCCGGAGACATTAGGATGGCGAGGTAATGGGTAGTCAGAGGGCGCTGAATAGGAGGAGGGCTGGATTGAACTTTGGATGAACTCTAGGCCAATTTGTGGGACAATAGGTCTAGAAATGCTCACAGTTAAAAG